ACAAAATCTCAAACCTTCTTAAACCCATTTACGTAGTACCCATATTGGTGTAAAGTCGGTCTTGTTCCCTTTCGTTCTTATCCTCATCACCACCACCTTCCTTGTGTAGAAAAATTACACACACACACACTAATATATATAAGACTTTTAAGTTTTAATTAGGTTTCCATATTTGTATCTTCATGAAACTCTTATATACTTCTTGTTTTTTCATTAACTACACACTTTTCATTTGTAACACCCTCCGATAAATAGCCCAAAACACACACACACACACAGTAAAATCATATTCATAACACCCTTTTCTCCCCCTTTTTCTTTCTCCATTTGAAATTCAAGAATTCTTGGAGTTTGCTATTTTTCTTGGTTTTTTTATGGTATAAAGTTCTCAACTTTATCTTAAAATCTTTCATACCCAAGTTTTTGTTGTTGTAATTATGTTGTCAAGATCTTGTTTCAATTTGCTAAATCTTGATGATTATTCTGTTATTGATAGAGCAAGAATTCCAAAAGTAATGAATGTTCCAGGAATTATATCAGATTTTGAAGAAGAAAATAAAGAAGTGAAAAAAAATGAGAGGAGAATTATTGTAGCAAATCAGTTACCAATAAAAGCTTATAAAGATGGGAAAAAATGGTGTTTTGAATGGGATAAATTTGCTTTAGATACATTAATTTTGCAGCTAAAAGATGGTTTATCACAAGATTTGGAGATTATTTATGTTGGATGTTTGAAAGCTGAAGTTGAAGTTGTTGATCAAGAAGAAGTGGCGCAATTTTTATGGGATAAATTTAGGTGTGTACCAACTTTTTTATCATTGGAATTAATTAATAAGTATTATCATGGTTTTTGTAAGCATTATTTATGGCCTTTATTTCATTATATGTTGCCTATAACATCAAGTCAAGGTGTTAGATTTGATAGGAAATGTTGGTTGGCTTATGTATCAGCAAATAAAATTTTTGCTGATAAAGTTTATGAGGTAATTAATCCAGATGAAGATTATGTTTGGATTCAAGATTATCATCTTATGATTTTACCAACTATGTTAAGGAAAAAATATAATAGAATTAAGGTTGGATTTTTCCTACATAGTCCATTTCCATCATCTGAAATATACAGAACTTTGCCTGTTAGAGATGAGATATTAAGAGCTTTGTTGAATTGTGATCTTGTTGGATTTCAGACTTTTGATTATGCTAGGCATTTTTTGTCATGTTGTAGTAGGATGTTGGGTTTGGATTATCAATCCAAAAGGGGTTATATTGGTATTGAGTATTTTGGTAGAACGGTTACGATTAAAATACTTCCGGTTGGTATTCATATGGGACAGATCCAAAATGTTATGTCGTTGGCGGATACGGGGAAGAAGGCGAAGGAATTGAAAGAGAAGTATGAGGGGAAAATTTTGATGTTAGGTATTGATGATATGGATATGTTTAAAGGGATTGGTTTGAAGTTTTTAGCGATGGGACATCTATTGGATCAAACGCCTCGGTTGAGAGGGAAAGTGGTTTTGGTTCAGATTACGAACCCTCCGAGAAGTAGAGGGAGTGATATTCAAGAGGTTGAAGAAGAGGTTAAGAGAATTGCTAGTGAAATTAATAAGAAATATGGGAAACCGGGGTATGAGCCGATTGTTTGTGTTAATGGTCCGGTTTCAACGCAGGATAAGATTGCACACTATGCGATTTCTGAGTGTGTTGTTGTTAATGCTGTTAGAGATGGGATGAATTTGGTGCCTTATGAGTATACGGTTTCTAGGCAGAGCAGCGATAATTTGGATAAGGCGTTGGGGATCGATAGTTCTGCAGCGTCACGAAAGAGTGTGATTATTGTTTCTGAATTCATTGGCTGCTCCCCGTCTCTTAGTGGGGCGATCAGGGTTAATCCGTGGGACATTGAAAGTGTATCAAATGCTATGTTTTCAGCAGCCACAATGAATGATTCGGAGAAAGAATTGCGCCACGAGAAGCATTACAAGTATGTTTCTTCTCATGATGTTGCGTATTGGGCGAGGAGTTTCGATCAGGACCTCAAGAGAGCTTGTTCCGAGCATTTTCACAAGAGATGTTGGGGTATTGGCCTTGGTCTTGGCTTCAGAGTTGTCGCCCTCGGGCCTAACTTCAGGAAGCTATCGGTAGAGCACATTGTCTCTGCTTATAACAGGACAAACAACAGGCTTATCCTGCTCGATTATGACGGTACTATGCTGTCGGAGGAGAGTGTGGACAAAACCCCGAGTGAAGATGACATCTCAATTCTGAATGGTTTATGCAGTGATCCAAAGAACGTAGTGTTTATCGTGAGTGGCAGAGGAAAGGATACACTTAGCAAGTGGTTCTCTCCGTGTCCGAGACTCGGCCTATCAGCAGAACATGGATATTTCACTAGGTAACAATTGCTCTAACACTTCAATTTGTAATTCAAGATTAGAGTTTTTATCATTATCTACTAATATTCATGTTTCAATTGCTTTATATTTCATTAAGGTGGAGTAAGGATTCCGAGTGGGAATCTCGTCCGGTAGCTGCAGATCTTGACTGGAAAAAAATAGTGTTGCCTATTATGGAGCGCTACACGGAGGCAACAGATGGTTCGTCGATCGAGCAGAAGGAAAGTGCCCTCGTGTGGCATCATCAACATGCTGGCCCCGACTTTGGCGCTTGGCAAGCGAAAGAGCTCCTCGATCACCTCGAGAGCGTGCTTGCTAACGAGCCAGTGGTTGTTAAAAGAGGCCAACACATTGTTGAGGTGAAACCACAGGTACGTACAAAACGGATGCCTAATTCCAATCGTATTTCAAACTATATTAATTCACATGTTGCTGATCCTGTGTGTATGTATATATATTATATATTGCAGGATGTAAGCAAAGGTCTAGTTTTTGAGAATCTATTGGCATCAATGCAAAGCAGGGGAAAGGCACCCGACTTCGTGTTGTGCGTAGGCGATGACAGATCGGACGAGGACATGTTCGAGAGCATTGCAAGTTCTTTAGCTAATAACTCTCTGCCTGATAAAGCAGAAGTCTTTGCTTGCACCGTTGGGCAGAAGCCGAGTATGGCGAAGTACTATCTTGATGATCCAACTGAAGTTATAAAAATGCTTCAAGGCCTTTCAGCCGCTACCGCCGCAGTGCAGCTACCGCCTAAATCTCCGGTACATCAATCCTCTACTGAAGTCATTACTCCATAGTTAGTCATACAGCTTTTGTATAGAAACTTTCATAGAAGTCAGTTGAAGGAAACATAGATAGTTTTCAGCAAAATTTGCATTTCATGACACCTTTTAGGAATTGCAAATTTAGCCATTTTCTTGGTTCATAGTTTACTCTATGACTTGCTTGGGTAGTTATACTCGGTGTAGTTAAAGGTTCTTAAAGGTGAAAGTAGTACATTTTTTGGTAAATTTTATACACGGTCATTTGGATCTTTGGCATAATCATCTTAATTCAACAGATCATACTCTATCAGACCTTTCTATAAAAGTCTCTATAATAACATTTCACTATAACGGTCAAGTTCTTATTGGGACCATTTTTCATGTTATGTATAATATATGTTTTGTCTAACAACATTTCACAATAGCAACGAAAAATTGTCGAAACAAACAAGGTTGTTATAGAGAAGTTTGGCTGTATATAGATGACTTGATCTTCTGTTGGAGTTGCGTTGTCATAGGTCAACCAAAGTTGACGCTAAAAGCGAATAAGTGGTCAAGTTGACACTAAAAGCGATTAAGTGGTCAACTAAAGTTGACGCTGAAAGCGATTAAGTGGTTAAGTTGACGCTGAAAGCGATTAAGTTTATGTATTAATTATATAATCATCGAAGTTTTTTTAGAGATCGATATAGATTGTAACAATCTTGATGTTAGTAATGATTTTTCCGATCACTTTGCTTGTCTGAGCTTTCGCTAGGGTCGGAACCTAACATTTTGCATTTAGTGAACTTGGACTTGAAATGTGACATATCTAATTACAAAATTTGGAATATATAGAATTACAAGAAGTCCTCAATTGGATAAATCCCAAATCTTATCCATTTTCTTGAAAACAATTCAAAATGGGGCATACTAAAGCATATTCAAATAGAGAATACAGGACTATTTCAACAATGTTCCAAGATTTTGCTTCTTCTTATGAACCACTTTTGGATGTTATGTCTCTAAGTTTCAACACAGTATTTTATACCATATAAAAAGACAGTCCGATGCATAAGATATTTTGCATTCACATAACATTCGGAGAAGGATCGTACTATAAGAGGTGTGATGTAAACAGTTTTTCTAGTGTAAGTATTAGTGATTGCCTTTGTTAGAGGCGGATCCAGGATTCGGTGGTCGTGGGATATTATCACATTCAATATAAATTTATCACTGCTCATAAAGAATGGCACGGTGGCCAATGATATTATCTTACTATTATTTTTTGAAAACATTGTGGCCTATGATAATATCTTATTATTTTTTGAAAATATTTGCAAGTATATATGGACTTTTAGCCGAAATTTTCGGGTGCTTGTGACCCCTTAACTCATCATGTGCTTCCGCCTCTGGCTTCTATGACTTGAACTCGTGATCATAATTAAATATGCTAAATTCTTCTCATTTTTTGAATTTTCTAATAAGATAGAGAGGTTTTTTCTAATATGGACAAAACAGAAGCTGTTGGTAAAGATAAAATTAAAAATAGATTGTTCATATGGCGTGCTTAGTTGCTAGTAATTTCTTATCCTTTTGTTATATTTTATACATGACATGCCAAAAGTCTTGGTATAATGAAAAAGGTTCAAAATCTATATAGATTTTGTTTATATTTGTTTGGTTTGGAAGATGAGTCCCTAAGCTTTTAGACTATCTTTTTGGTGCATGCTTTTCTGTGACGGTCAAGTTGTCCCCGTATAATCTATTGGTTACGAATTTGAGATGTGGAATTAGTCATTGATGCCTGCATTAGGATAGGTTATCTATATCATACCCTGTTAAGGTGCGATCCCTTACCAAACTCTATGTGAACGTGAAATGTGTTGTACACCGAACTGTCCTTTTTTTATATTGTTTGTCACGGTTCACAACTTTTTATTATTTGGCACGACCCTATAAAGATCTTTTATTTTTTATTTACAGACTTCTTAAGTTATATTTATATTAATCTCATGCGAAAAAAGATCATATAATCAAAATAACAACAGTAATGAATTACAAAACTAAATCTACCATAGAAAACCTCTTATAAATCTCCCATCTTAGCTTTTATAAATTTTTAAACTAATGAGCATTTTTATTTCAACAATTTTTTACTATTTAATCCTTAGTGTTTTATGTTATCCCCTAATAACCTTACCAAAACAAAATTCTAAACTCCCTCTCTTTCCATTTTAGTCGTTTGTCTTCTCCTTGTAAATATACTTTTTAGTTTACACGTTTTGTAAATAGTTTTAAACGCATGTCAATAATCAATCCGTTCGACCGAAGTGAGATATTCAGTGTCTGATATTCGTACGACAGTATTCACCAAAATTGCAAGAATAACATATGCCCCAAGATTTTTGACTATTATCAATGAAGTATAATATAATATATTTTCGAAAAATTGATTGGATTAGATACCCCAGTAATCCTAGCCGTGAACAATGAATACTAGGCGTTGTGCGTATCAACCTGTGTTGTACTATAGCTCATGCATTAAGTATCCCGTCTGGGGAGTACGTTCGCAAGAATAAAACTTAAAGGAATTACTGGGGCAAAACTCTAACTTGAGTAAGTGCTACAGGCAGAGGCGGACCTACGGCTTAGGTTGAGGGGTCACCGGACCCCGTAAATTTCGGCAGAAATTTTGTATATATGTGTATACCTTGAAAATGGTTAATTTAAATTACTTGGCACCCTTAACCCTAAAAGTCTTTAGGGGGCACTGATTGAACAGAATAATGTACCCCGTCGCATTAAATTTCTTGGTCCGCCTCTGACCACAGGCAAAGGGATTAGCCTGAGGTGGTGGTTTAGCCAAATGGGAAACGTGCAATGTCGAGAATTTGAGCAGCTAGGGCCATGACTTCTCGAAAATTGCTTATCAACACACCTTTTTACACATCAACTGTTATTATCAATTTTAGCAGTACCCATGCAATTATTTATTTTATAAAATCTATTTCAACACTTTTCTTGAACAGAGGGTCGTCTCAGACCAGTGAAGATCGGAATTGAGCCGCTTAAGATTCCAATTCAAGTAAGGAAGATTGTCATTAGTCTAGATATTCTAAACATAAAATACCATTAGCGCCCAAGCTAACCAGCGCGACAAAGAGCAAAGCAGAGCATTCACAAAGAAATAGTGTAAGCAGAAGGTAGGGGTGTACATGGACCGGGTTGCTCCGGTTTTTGTCAAAACCGAACCAAACCAACTATATCGGTTTGGATTGGTTCGGTTTTGTCGGGTTTTTCGGGTTTTCGGGTTTTTTTTGTTACATGAATATTATTTCAATCTTACTTTGTTAAAATTATAGATAAAGCTTTGATAAGTGAATATATATTTAGTAAATTTGGAAAAAATTGACAAACATATGATCTATTAAAATATTATAATTGGAGAATTTTTTTAGTAACACATGATAATTATTTTCTTAGTTGTCTAACAATAATTTTCGTTAATTTACGCTTTCAAGGTTAATACATGAGAGGATCCCAAATATTTTTACATTTTCTAAAGAAAAATCACTATAAAGTCTTAAAAATATAAATAAATTTATATATTTATACGTCGGTTTGGTTCGGGTCTTTTTACTCAATACCAAATCAAGTCAAACCAAACCTAGTCGGGTTTTTTAATCGGTTTGATTTGGTTTTTCGGTTTGGTGCGATTTTCCGGTTCGATTTGAGCACCCCTAGCAGAAGAAAAGGCGTAACGGTTAGCGACTGCTCGAGGAGTCATCCCTCTCTTATTTTCCCTTTTTTTAAAATAAGAAAGGAGACAATAAGCCCGACATTTTTTGTTGTAATTTATTCATAACGTGCCATGAAGACCTTGTTTATATTTGTTTGCTTTGGAAGATAAGAATCCAATCTTTTGAGACTATCTTTTGGTGTTTGTTTGTCACGGTTCAAAAAAAAATTAATTTATTTTAGTAGGAAACTTCTTACTTATAGAAAAAAGCTGTAATGTACTGTGATCAAGTTAAAAAAATATTAAAGTACAAAGAAAAACACTTTTGATATGACAATTTGCCATATAGGACAAAACTCGAAAAGATAAGGAATTATTCAAATAAGTTGATAGTACTGAGGATTAGAGTTTGGTTTCTTATCAGTGAAAAGATAGTTTAAACAATTGTGGTAGGAATACATAAAACAAGAAAAAGAAAAAACTAGTGATTGAGACTTAGGGCCTGTTTGGAAGATTTCCTTATTTCGATTTTTTTTTTATTTCTTTTCGAAATCAACGTTTGATCGTGAAATTTTTTATTTTCACTTGAAAATGAATTTCAGAATTTTTTGAATATTTGAAAATTTCCAAAATGCTATTTTTCAAAATTTTCACTTCAGATCACTCACAAAATTCAAAAATAGTTCAAAATTATATTCATATCCAAAAACAACTATAATTTTCAAATACCAATTTCAGTTGAATTTTATTTTTCACTTTTTTTTTCGAAATTTTACCATTCTTATGTCCAAACGCCCACTTAAAGTTAAGTTATCCAAAATTGATAGGACACTTTATGATAGAACCATCAATGATTATGAAACAATATAATTATGCCTTAATTAAAAGAATTTAATCATCATGTATTATCTGGATAAGCCTTTATTAGGCTGGTTAAACTGTCAAAACAAACTTATAGAGATAGACATTCATAAATTTTTTTCTTTTGCGAGTGAAGTTTTTTTCCGTACTAAGCGAGTAAAGTTCAATCGAGCTTATGTACTTACTAGGTCTTTCACCATTTATTTTTCCTCGAGAATGTAAGACAATTCACCCTCACTAATTGTGTTAATCACTCTTTTCATTTGTATAGTTTTATAAAAGTGAAATTATCATGAACAACGAATTTTTATGACCGATTTTTTCACCAATTATTGAAAGCAAACACACAATGGATAGAATAATCAACGATTCAATATCATTATGGTTGTAAGATGATAATGAAGGTCGATGTAACAGGAAAGGAATATTGGGGAACCTTTATACTATCCATATTTCGATAAAATTGGAAGGATACAAAGAGGATTAGTATTGCCGGTGGAAAGATAACACGTACAAATCGAGCAATATAGAAAATGGGCCTGTTGAGAAATCCATTTGCCATCTACTACGGCCATGATCCTAAAAACCAAACAACTATTGGAAAGAAAAGAGTAAATGACGTTGTATGGCCGTCCAAATATTTTAATGGGAAATTTTCGTTTCTATACCATATAAGAAACTATATTACCAAATA